TAGCTTTTTCATATTCCTTTACATGTCACTACGTTTAAATAGGTTGAATTGGGACATTTTTTTCGTGGTTGTGTATTAGACCCGTCGTCCATTTATTTGTAAGTCAATGCCTGTATCTTTACTTTTTTCACAAAATAAGCTTTTTTTTTGTTTTTGTTTCTTTATTTTCTTCACAAAATTCGGGAAGCATAATATTAGCATATAAATATGGCTGTTTACAATAGTAACAGACAATTACCAAAAAATAAAGTTGGTGTAGTGTTCATTGGAGGTATCGAAATAATACAGGGTGGGCCAAGAATTCGTTAACATTTGAAAAAATCGTATAAAAAAAACATTAGGTATATTTTAAATTTTTTTTATTCACAAGAAAGTAATAATAATAATAACGCTCACACTCAACATAGCCCCGCACTAGGGAGACCCTGTGTCGCGGGTGCTATGGACACATAGACAACCACAAATTACACCCAAACTCACGAGAGAAATAAATGTAGGCCATACAAATATTTCTTCCTGCCCGGGAATCGAACCTGGGACCTCTGCGTGGCAGTCCGGCATGGTAACCGTTCGGCCACGGAGGCAGTAAATTAATTGTAATTTATTTTCTCAAAATAATATCATCTAAATGACCACCGTTTCGCCTTTTGCACTCTTCTAAGCGAGTACCGAAATTTTCGAATACTCGTCGGCAAAGTAACCGCGAGATCGCCGACATTTCTTCGCTGTTTTTTTCTTTTAATTCACCTAGTGTCTTTGGTTTATGAATGTAGACACGACTTTTTAAATAACCCCCTAAAAAGAAGTCTGCTGGGGATAGATCTGGACTTCTAGGTGGCCATGGGATGTCGGCTCGTCTGGAAATCAGCTTTTCCGGAAACATTTCTTTGACCACCGGCAGGGACTCGTTAGATGTGTGACAAGTGGCCCCGTCTTGCTGAAACCACGTGTTACGATTGTAGCCAGCAAATTCCAGTAGCATTGGTGCCAAGAACTCCCGTAATATTTTCACATACTCAGAAGAATTAACAGTAACCGAACGGCCGCGAGAATTTTCGAAAAAGTAGGGTCTAATGATTCCTTTTGCTGAAATTGCAGCCCATACAGTTACCTTAGGAGAATAATGATGTCCGGGATAATCCTAATTCAGCCGAACGTTTGCGCGTCGATAAATCTGGATTATGTCGAACAGAAGCCGAAACTTGCTGCAAGTTCTCTTCGCTCCGAGAAGTCCGTGGGCCGCCGGTTTGTTTCACATTAAGTGTAGATCCCGTCTCTTCGAACTTCTACACCCAGTTCCTTATTAAAGGAGCACTCGGACACTTCTTAAGTCATGTAAATCGTATTCAACGCGAAATAAGCGTCTCAAAGTAATGAGCGAACTGTTGTTTAAATAAAATTGTTTCACACAAAAAGCGCGCTGTGGGCCCGTGAAGCGATCCATTGCGACTAAATTTCTGAGAAACAAACTAGTGTCAAGACCCCTACCCGCACCCCGCGCGGCTTGTACTTGCGTGGGGTATAAGATTTAAATGTTAACGAATTCTTGGCCCACCCTGTATATCGATGCTGGAAAGTCAAAAGGGCTAACGTGCATTTGGACAATTTTACAGGGAGCGATTTAAAGATTTTTTTTTTCAAGAAAAAAATCATAACTCTGATTTTCTTTGTTATATGGAAAAGTTGACTACCAGAAAGTTTTAGATATTGATGAGGACTACAACATGCTTTACAATTTCTTAATATTCAAAATAAACGGCATGTTATACAACTGGGTTTTGTCATCAGCCCAGAACAACAGCTAACATACATATTTTTACATAAAGACGTTACGGATAAGGAAGTAGCGTACATTTTATGTTTTAGTTAGACCCTGAAAAATACCTTATTAGTGGGATAAGTGTAAAAGAAAAGGCATAACACAATTACTTGGGCATCATGATTGTTTAACATAAAGAGTTAAGATACTAAAAAATGTTAATGCCCCACGCCTGTCCTGTGTGATTAAACAGAAAGTGTTCTGTTTAATTAATTCGATATTAAATAACAAGTGACATGTCATAATAAAATATACTTATTTAAAATAAAGAATACACAAAAGAACAAATAGTTAACACAAAGAAAAATGACATCGCAAAATATATTAGAGCTTATAAATCGCTTCGATGGAATCCTTAGAATATCGACATATATACAACATAGGTACCCCGGTGGTGTTGAGGGAAAGGCGGAATTAAATTTTGCAATTCCATCGCACACTCTCCGCGATATATCCTACAGAATACCATAAGCAGGCAACTTTACGGTGATGTTCAAGGTAGCTCTTTTGCCTCCACTTCTACTAAGTCTAAGTCACTTGGCATAAGCCTCTTGGCAGACTTTTCAACTGAATCCAAGGTGGCTAGGCCAGCCAAAGGACAAAGTCCAGAAAAGTCAAAAAAACATTGCGAGGGCTTCGCCTTGCTTTTCCTCGCTTCATATGTGAGAGCCACATAGCACAACGCAAGGAGATCTCCCATAGATCGCCTTAGTCGGACTCCGTACTGGAGATTACTTATGTGGCCTTATTAAAAGCTTTCTTCAAATGCCGAGGCTTTGCGTAGTCGAACATCTGTCCAAGATCGTAGTCGGTGTAGTCGTAGTACTTGTACTTCAGCATGCTTACAGTCAGCACTATAACCATGGACGGTCTAAACAATTAGCCATATGAGGCACAAGATTTGAGATTCTGTGGTGCTACTGACAAGCTGGGAAAAGCTTAGCGTTAACACAAGTTTACGCGTCTCTCTCCCTGCATGATTAGACATCTGGTATGGGAACAACCATAGTGAGCATTAAAGTTCTCTAAAATGACTAGCTGTGCCCTTGGGTGTCTATGCTGAGCCTCATCAGACGTCTCACTCAGTCGTTGGAACGTCTTGGTCGTCTCTTGATCTCCACTGTACGAACAGTAGACGCCGCAGTACACTATTTGTGTAACTCCCGTGTTAACCAGAAGCCACAAAACAAAAAAGTCGGTGCCTGAAGGTTCTTGAGACGCTTGACACGGATGTTATCACAAACATACAGACAGACTCCGACACAAGGTAAAAACCTGTGTTACAGAGCATGGTATAGTAGTGGAGTAGTTGAGATAGGCTGCATCAGTCGGACATCTGATCTACATCTCAGTGAAGAAAAGCAGCTACGGTTTGTCGGTTGTAAAGTGATAGTGCACCACGTCGAAACCTTTACAATAATAACAATGCAAATTCAATCAATTTAAAATGCATTATTATTATAATGGTTAATTAATTTACCCAATGAGGGCACACGTTCGACAAGTTTCGATATGAAAGTCTATACGTTTTCACTCGAGTAGCTCTTGCATGCCTCGTTAGACAAGTGGTGACATAAAAAAAAATTACAGTAACATTTAAATGTTGTACCTAATTATATACATTTACGTTGTAACAACACTAGTAAGGCAGCTAGGATCGCAATCGATAGGGCACAAAAAATATGGTTAAGCGAGGAATTTCGCCATTGGTTTACCGTTAGAGACAATTTAAAATTACATCTTAAAATACTTTATTCAGAGCTTTCTTTTAAGTTACATAATATTGAATTTGGTATTCTAGACCAAAAGGCGAGATTCTTCGCGTCACAGGTGGCTCATAAAATGTTTCTTACCCAGTCTAACAAATTGACTAAAGGTTATTATACAACTTCTGCGTACTTGGATGACAAAAATCCGTGATAGTAACCCGTTTAGCTCATGGAGATAGTCTCGATCTCTTTCATGATCGATGTTTGAAAGCAAAAAAATATGTTGTAAATGTTGAATGCGTACAAATGTTTTTACAAAGAGCAACCCCGAGAGTTTCTTGTACATTCTCCTCTGGAGAAACTGCCTTACGAAGAGCGGTAGAGTTTAACCAATGTGAAGATTTCAAGTATAATAATGGTTACCTATGAAATAAAGATTATTTTAATTTTGATTCTTGATTTTGATAATTGAGAATTGACATCTCTTTGCATGAAACAAAACTACTTTAGGTTTAACGGACAATATTACTTGCAATGTGATGGTCTAGCAATGGGTTCTCCTCTCAGTTCTTTAATGGCAGACTTATTTATGGATCTTTTTTAAACTCAATACATTGCAGGTAATAGATATATATTATATTATTACTTTAGGTATGTTGATGTATGTTGATCAAAGTATCGAATACTTTGTTCGACGGGTAGTACGAGACATCTGGACAATTTTGTAAACGACCTTAACAACAAACACCCAAAAATTAAGTTTAAGAAAGAATTAGAACAAAACAACTCACTCAATTTCTTAGATTTAACCAAAGTGGATAACAAACATGATTTTAAAATTTACCGTAAGCCTACGCATAAAGATACAATTATCCCAGCTTCTTCTTGTCACCCCTGGCAGCATAAAATACTTGTGCGAAAATCAAATAAACTGATTTCAAAACGTAAAACGTTCATTTAATATAATTTTTATTTGCACTAATTTCACTTCCTGTAACTTTATTTCATATAATTCTCATTTGATATAACATTCACATCTTTAAGAACATTTTAAAATTGTTGTTATATTAATTGAGATTTATAACTGTTATCTAAAGTGAAAGACAACGTTTGTTAAATAAAGTGAAATCATAGCATGTAAGTTTATATTAAACGTTTGTTGTATTAAGTGAATTGTTATATTAAACGAGTTTATATGATATAGGTATTACACATTATATTACCCCCTATACCTTATGTAGTTGACCAAATATCGAAAGCATTCAAACAGACTATTTTTGTGTTGTTGGCGGTAAACAGAAAACGGTAAAAAGTGTTGGCTACCAAGGCTGTTTTTAATTGTTTTAGGTCGATCGATGCTTCTAACAACCCATTTCATGGATGAAGCGGACATCCTCGGCGATCGCGTCGCAATAATGTCAGCTGGTAGCCTCCAGTGTGTCGGTAGCCCTTACTTCTTGAAACAACATTTCGGTGCGGGGTATACTCTGGTTATTGTGAAGTCGGAATCCTTCGACGTTGACGCTTGTACTCAGCTATTGAACAAATATATTCCAAACACTGTTGTCAAAGAAGATCGAGGTTAGTTGATTATGAAGTAGCACACCATTGCCAGTGATAAATTGACATTAGTGTGGCATATTCATGTGACTGATTTTGTTGGATTTTTCTAGGCACTGAAGTTACTTATAGTTTGTCAAACGAGTCCGCCCACATTTTCGAAGAAATGCTGTCCGACTTGGAGAGAAACCAAAACAATATCAAGTTTCAGAATTACGGGCTTGTTGCAACTACGCTTGAAGACGTGTTCATGGCGTAAAGTGTAACCATTATATTATATTCCGTACCTGAGAAGCATTACACTGTAAGTGCTATTTTTGTAATTTTACAGGGAACGCGATTTTGTGTCGAAATGCAGCATGTACAACATTTAGAATGGATTGAAATAAAACTAATCGAGTTTTAATAACATTTCGTGCTACTCTAATTGGCGTACAAACTGCTTTTCGACACAAAATCGCTTCCCCCGTAAAATTACATAAATGGCGCTTACAGTGTAATGCTTCTCAGGTACGGTATTTAATTTTAATTTATTTTTAAAAATGTTGAGATAGTCATGCAGATTGACTGTGGAAGGAAGACATGATTTGTGTTTGAAATATAATGTAATGTATTCTCTAGGTAGTTTTATCGACATTTTACAGGGTGGGTTCCGAATCGTACGGCGATAATCCCGTCTCAGCACGAACTATGGCTAAATTTTTACAATGTAAATGCGGTAAATGCCACTTCAGAGCGACTGGTCAACGAGGTCGTTGCTTATTCGACACTCCACAACGATATTGTTGTGGAGGAACTGAAATTCCCGACGATGAAAAATGCAAGTTTGACCCTGCATTGCGGTGCTACTGCGGCAGGGAGCATACATTGCTAGGTGCGTTATTTCTTACTTTACGTAGAGACAAATTAAAAATAAGTGATTCATGTACTATTTTAGCTAAGTCACCTGTATAGTCTGGAAGCCAAACATTGTGTATTTTAAATAAACATTTTTTTTAACAAAACAAACAATTCTCTGTAATTCAAACTGAACGCATGTTCAGCTGTACTCCAAGTATCGCAGATAGATAACAATATTTTTTTACTGCCTCGACAATTTCAACACACACTAATTAGCCACACACCACTTTTTCATATTAATAAACAGTGGCCAAATCGAAGCATGTAAACAAGGAATACGAAAACGTGGTATGTACAGTGCTAAATAACTAAATGACAAACAAAACATTTATTGCAGAATGTCCTGGTGATAAATGTACGAGTGACGGCAATAGTAAAGGCGACAGAAAGGGTGCCTCTGCTAGTAGAAAGCATGGCGGAAAGCAACCCGATAAATTTGCCGACGACACTACCGATGGCCTCGAATTTGACAGCCTTGGTGGTGCTGGCGATACCAAACTAAAAACTATAACAGGGCCACAATTACTAATTAATCAAATATTAGCAACTTGGATGAAGTTGTTTCTGGTCTGGTCGCGTTCCTGGACGATGATTTTGCTGCAGTTTCTGACCCCCATTCTGCTCATTAACTCGACGCTCGCTATGATCGCATATGCTACCAGAACATCAGATGCCAAAGAGAAGAGGGCATTAGTACTAACCACAGGGTTAGATATCATATAAGTTATTTATTACACACTGTGGACTAGCCACAAAACAGCAATGTTATACAATACAAATTTGTTTAATAATTGTTAATTTCAGATTTGCTGAAACTGAAACTCTTCTAAACTACGACAATACTGGTCTAGGCGCGTCATCAGGACCAGCTTATGAAGAAATTTTTAATCAGACCGCCGTTGCAAAAATGCGACTCAATCTTGTTAACGAATCGATATCAGACTATTATCTTGAGAGAGTGAGTATCATGTTTTATTATGTGTAGGTACTTATAAATAATTTTCCTTACTTATCATAGAACGACAATTACGACCAAATGCATTGACTTACAATTAAATGGACGACGGGTCTAATACAAAAACCACGAAAAAAATGTCCCAAGTCAACCTATTCGAAATTTAAATTGTTATGTCATCGCAGTATCGCGCTGTCCGTAGAACAAATGAAGACTAAAGCGGAGTGTCGCGCTCTGTATACGATTTTAGCGCCTTACAAGTGCGAACACTTTTTAGCGCGGACCCGACGTCCATATAATTGTAAGTCAATGACCAAATGTTTTATTTTATTATTTTAGTAAATGCAATTGAGGTTAGTAGGTGAGGAATCCATAAATTTTAACACAGAATTATAACAGTTTGTGTATCTCTGGTAAAATATGGATTTCGGAAATAGTTTAACTGCATCGTAAGATAAAACTAGGTACTTACTTACAAAGCTGAAGTTGGTTTTTAATAATATTAAAATAATAATAAAAACTGAATTTTTTGAACGTCAAAAAATTCAGTAGATGAGTAGATAGAGACTAACCTTTCACCAAAGTAAACATTTTTAGTAGGCTATATACGAGCTATGGCTTATTTAATCTAATGCGGATATTCTAGATACTTTTATATTCACTCATGATACAATGGACCATGACCCGTTAGGGCGGCAGTTAGAGTGCAAAGCTCTTGCCTTTTAAGTTTAATTAATATTCGTGATAGACTGGCATTGAGCGTTGGGAGTGCTTTCCTCGCCTGTCTACAAACCATAAGGGTGGTCCATGTATTATTATGTGAAGTTTTTGTACCTTTGTGTATAGTTGTTCTGGATCATTGGTAGGGGAGGGACACAATGGGTTCTGGTCCTACAGCGTCCGTCTCCGACCCTTTTCTGGCTTGTTCATCTGCTGCGTCATTGCCAAAACTGTAATAGTTTAAAAACAAGCATAAAATGTTGTTCTACTTTGGAGAAAGTTTACTACGTTTATATTATATATGTTTATACTTATACTTCGTTTCAATCCATTATACGGGAAAAGTAAGCAAACCGGTTTGGTTATATTAAATTCTAAAGCAATCACTCAATAAATGGAATAGTAACGCTTTTAAGGTTTGAAGATTTCGAATAATATCAAATAATGTCAATAAAATTCTAAAATCGTATTGAAAAATGTTAGTCCAAAAGTAAGATTATTTTTCAAATATCGAAGTATCTAAATCTATGTCTATGAAGTCTATGGTTGCACAGTGCTGTATCTACGTAAAAAATAATTCGATTCATTCAAGTTTTTGTACTCGATTAGTAATTTGAAAATTTCAACTAGCAGTCTAACGAGTATCTAGGTAAGAGCAAGGATTTGAAAGAAAGCATTTAAATTAAAATTAAAAATTGGGAAATTTAAATTTGCCTAACCTACACCAATTTTATTCGCAAGCTAACACGCTTTTACAACGAAACCCCAAAGCAAAGTTTCAATAGAAATAACGAATATCTCACTCACCTCTGATCCCTCGTCAAATCAGACACTTAAGACTACATTACTCGAGAAGGAAAATTTCCGGAAATCCGGAATTCGAAAAAATAATATTTATTTGGTGGTCTTAACCACTCCATGTCACACACCTTGTATCTATATGGGATTCGCTCTGGGCATTTTGGAGGGAAAAGTGTCGTTTTTATTTTGTCTTTCAATTATTTTGTGAAATCTTGTTTAAAGTGGAATATGATAGTGCTATTGTGCCTTAATCGAAGATTAAAACGCGAAATTATACGAATCTCGAACTAAAATACCCGTATCGGCCCGTTTTAAGGAATCCCGAGTCAATCCAAGCACGCCGCCTCAAATTGCCTATCCTCTTTGTGGCAGCCATATTTACAGAAACATAATTAAACTTCATGTTTAGGCTGATGGCTTTGCCAAAGCCTTAAAAAATTTTAAAAAAAATTGTATATATATGTATGTAGCCATGATATTACTAACATAAATTTATTTTTCAAGGCCAGTAATCCTTTAACTTTGGAATATCTGCGGAACCAATTACTTGTTGGAGCGACATTCGAAAGCAACGAAGCTATAGCTTGGTTTAGCAATTTTGGTTACCACGATTCGGCAATGTCCTTAGCTTACGTCCATGCTGCAATATTTCGAGGCTTATGTAAACAATGCAATATGAGTGTGTATAACTATCCACTTCAGGCCCATTACACTAATCGGGTGATTACTCCATGTCCATTAAATCTTTGTAAAACCATATTATATCGGTTTATTTGAGTAGTATAGTAGCGTTAGGGTGCGTACAGATCTGGCCAATGCTTCGCAACTGCGCCTGTTTGCAGAAAGGCGTTCGCGTGCCGTTCGCTCTCCGTTCGCGCGCGACATATATTTAACTGCACGCATGCAGCACGCGTGCAGGGCGCGTGCAACGCATTCGCCAGATCTGTACGTACGCACCCTTAGGGTCGAAACACAAAACTGCGGTACGACGTCGCATTACAGAAATCTACGAACTCTCACGTATCGCAAGAATTTGCGAATTGCTCCGCATCGCGTATTCCGGTTATGTTAATCTTCTTTGAGTTTTTTCCTATAATTTCTTACCAATAAAATCAGTGCAACACTCTTTTTAGGCTTCATGTCGCTACCTAGTTTAAAAAATACATTATGTACGGTTGAAGATCTTAGGAGGAATTGTCACCCAAACTGTGGCAGTAAGACGCTTTGCTGCTGCAAATGGTATCGCAGGAATTCGTATCGCAATTTACTGCGTCGGGAATCCGCATCGCGCCGATTCGCGTTTTGTATTTCGATCCTTAAAGTCAACAAAATACATTCAAGAACACATTAATTAGAAAAATCATTGACTTACAAATAAATGGACGACGGGTCTAATACAAAAACCACGAAAAAAATGTCCCAAGTCAACCTATTTAAACGTAGTGACATGTAAAGGAATATGAAAAAGCTAAAACGTTGAATTTAAATTGTAATGTCATCGCAGTACTGTCTAATTTTGCTTTAGTCTTCGTTTGTTCGACTGACAGCGAAGTCAGTCGAACAAACGAAGACTAAAGCGTGAATGACGCTCTGTATACGATTTTAACGCCTTATAAGTTCGGACACTTTTTAGCGCGGACCCGACGTCCATATAATTGTAAGTCAATGGAAAAATGCAAAAAAAGTTGATGATAATAATGTTCATGTACCACTGACCAGAATGTTTAATTTGAAAAAAGAATAACTTCAGTCGTCTTTTGTTTCGATTACTTAAACGTTTATAATAGACTTGACCGTAGAATAGACCGTAACCGCCCAAGGGGGTGATTCACGTAATCAATCCGTTACGATATCGTAGCGATTTGGTCGTTGAACTGCCTTTTCGTATTCACGTGTGACAGGGAACGTCAACGAGTCCAATTTTAATTTTAATTTCGAACGTATTGTGGTATACACCAGATTTATATTTTAGATTTAACGACTTTAAAATTGAACTCGCTGACGTTCACTGTCACATGTGAATACGAAAAAGCAGTTCAACGACTAAATCGCTACGATGTCGTAACGGTTTGATTACGTGAATCACCCCACTGTTACACGACGCGAAAGTTTTCGCGCGGCCGCCTCGCGGTGACCGCCCAGTTACCACGCTTTCACGTACATTAATGGCGAATCTGAATTCTATTTACTAGGCAACAACATTTAAATTCCTCGGAACAAAACAACAGCGCGGCCGCCGCGCCATCATATACCCCGGGAGTAAATAGAGCCTATTTTACCATGACAGTTAGATGCACGCGGTCGCTTCGCGGCGTGAGCGCGATGAAATTCATTTCGAATAAACGCGCCCTTAAGATGTACCAATTTTTTGCAAAACAAATGTCAGAAAATTTTGACTATTGAAGAAAAATTACAATCTGAGATCTGGCAATATGACAATTAGTATGACTATGACAATTAGTATAATATGACTTAGCCAGTCCCGAAGAACGACAAATTTTACTACGTTCTGGTATATGTGGCCAGTGGTTGACATGAACATTGTAACCGAAATTCGTTGCAACTCTAAAAATAACATAAAATCAATGAAATTTTCAGGATGATACAAGATTGTTATTGTTATTGCTAGCGTCGCTCCTTGCAAACGGAATTGGCAATAGTGTTGGTGTCGTAAGCGCCATGTTCGTCATGTTTTATATCAAAGTACGTAAATAATTGAATTAAAATCAGTATTAATGAAAACGTACAGTAAAAAAAAAAGTATAGTCCTTTGGGTTCGTAGTAATTTACGTCCATTTTTATTAAGAGGGAGCAGAGGAAAAATTCCTAATCTTCGATTTGTTTTTAGAGGGCTATATCCACTTTAAAGTTAAAAATAAAATATTGTATGAGTAACTACACGATATATTCAATCAGAAACATAAAACAATAAAGTTTCCTCGATAGATAAAAATCACGAAATGACGTCTAATTTTCACATTTTTTCGATTTATCCTCTAAATGCTACAGGTTATTAGGACAAAAATTAGATAATTAATTATATTTATGCATGATCAACAACTGTCACTACGGATTTTTTCTTAATCCCTTTAGTTTTAGAGTTATTCCGCTAAAACGAATTTGGTACTTTTAATGCGCAAAATTCAACATCTCCTGTCGCATGTCACGCGAACTTCAGGCATATATTTGTTTCACAAATTGGGCGGAACCAACGTAAAAACTTTTTTGGCATGGGAGCTCTTAAAGTATAAGGGGGTAACCACATTTCGATACGGAATCGCATTAAACCGGACAGAAAAAGTTTTATGTCCATGTAATATGCTTTGTGACCATCAGGATGGCTAGTTGTCTGTAGCGTCTGGCACTGAGTGTACATTCAAGAATTGCTACCTTTGACATATTCTGAGAAATTTAAAATAATAATTGACCAGCCATTCTGATATCAAGACAGCTGGTGGCCACTTTGTTTAACATGAAGGGAGCAGATTTTCCATGAGTATATATTACCAATAATTAGTATATATTTGCTACTTTCACGAATTAAAGGTGTAACTTATCTACATTAGTTAAAAAATATATAACTAATAGAAATTTTACGAGGAAGGCCTGATTAAATTATAAAAGCAAAAGTTTTTCTGCTTTATTGTGACTATATCTCAAATAAATTACTTAAGCATTCCATATACGAGCACACACAAGAACACTGCGTAGTGCATTTCATATAAATAACTACATAAATATTTAATCTAGTTTAGTTGTGTGTCGCACACACGTCTGGTACTCACTTGGTTTTAGGGTTCACTGAAAACTAACGCCTCACAGCCTACCCTCGGCTGTGGTATTATCTGAGTGGATCCTTCTGCATACGCCACAGCTGCACATATAACTGTGTTGACTATTTAAAATTAGATATGGTGATTAAATTTTTTGTTTTACTTTGACTTTTTTATTCTTTATATAAAAAAAGACAAAATATTAAATGGTTTATATTGTATTTTATTCTATAAGAGCAAAAAAAAAAGTATTTTGCTGGAAGGACTTACAGCTTTTTCTGACCTGCTCAAATTGAATCCGTGTTAATTAGTGTGGAAACTCGTTAATATATTATGTAACTTTTAAGTACGTAGTAGAACAGTATCCCAATTTATAAATAATTTTTGAGTTATGTTGAAGGCCCTTTCAGAAACCAGAGACGTTTCTGCAAGCGCTTTTGGGAAAAATATCGTAGAAACTATGCTAAAGTCAATTTTCACGACTCATCGGTAAGGTATTTATTTATACGAAATCATAGTTTTACCGATGCACCTTACAAACCTAGCAAAGTTCATCGAGACTTAATTGAATTTAATTCGTAATAGGAACGTACAAATCGAGTTAAATTGCTCCAAAAAGCAGCTGGACTAAGCCCCGTCGTCATGTGGGGTAGTGCTTTTGTCTTCGATTGGGTGTTGTTCGTCCTCGTCAACATCCCTATTCTGATCTCGTGTGCCCTTTTTAGGGTCATTGGAATTTCTACATTCTGGCAAATACGTAAGTAAATAGATCAACATATAAAAGGTCAATTTTTTGTACTCTCTGATCGAATCTGTATTCAAGGTCAATTTTTTTGTACTCTCTGATCGAATCTGTATTCGTTAATTTTAAAATAACAAAGTTAGCGCATACATGCTTGAAAAGAATTGAAACTTTCAGAACTGGGAGTAATTTAGGTTTGAACATATTCTACCTATCTATTATAAACATAATTATAAACAGTCTGTCAGAGGTTTTTAACTCTACCGACGACTGACGGTAGAACTCTAATCTGCGCCTAAGCTCCGGAAACCAATAAAAGAATATATACATATTTGTATTCTCGTTGTACCCTGTTACAGTTCGCCTATTTATTCTCTTGGTGGTGTACGGAGCCAGCATGTTGCCGTTTGTTTACATATGTTCGTATTTGTTCCGTGGACCGGGCGTTGGATTTGTCGCTCTGTTATTTCTTAATGTACTGTTCGGTGAGTATGGTTGCTTCAAGTAATGTAGCGATAAAGTAACTATTTACCTAACATGTTTAATCTCAGTACAATGTCTGAGAGTATCACCGGGCTTATAGAAGGATCTGTTTGAATCGGGCACAAAAATCTTTATGCCCATGCCATAAGAGCGAAAAAGGTGCTTTGGGTTTCGTCTGTGGCGAATCGCGCCGTTTGTCTTAGATAACGCCTTTTCACTTATTGCATGGGCATTAAGATTTTTCTGACCAGCTTAAGCGTCGATAAGTATGTTGACTCCCTATGTTCACGATATGACTTTTAAAATATTACCATCAAGTGTGTAGCCACATGTCAACACGTAAAAAAAATTATAAAATGTTAATATTTACCAACGATATCTATGTACTAGTATTTACTATCTTATTTGATCAATTTGTCATGTATTTTATAACAATGGTAGATGTTGGGTCAAGCGGAGTTTATCAACAATGGAATTGGTCTTTGCATCTTCCAACTTACCAGGCTTGTTTGTTTGCCCCTTGTACAGTCAAGAGCACATTAAGCTTGACACTTTGTATTTTGGACCGTTCTTATTGTAAACGACATAGAGTTGGATTTAAGTCTTAAGTGTCAAGCTTACGTGCTCTTGACCTGTACTTTCTTTGGACTATAAATTTTATATTTATCTCGGACAGGTATGTTGGCCCCGCAAATCGTAGATATATTATGGCTTCCTTATGGCAACACGAGAACAATGGGAGACCTTATTGATGCTGTGGTGGAGTTCCATCCTCTTTATGGCTTTGTAACTTGTGTCAGGTATGCTATAAAATTATTATTATTATTTTTTTTTTTTTATTGTGACTCGGCAAAATGACTGCACCGCGCCTGATGGAAAGTGCGAATACAGTCCAGAGATGAGAGTAACGGATGGAAAACACAAATATCTTCACTCCGTCACTATCATTTTGCCGGTCTATCTTCTTCAAATTATTATGTAAGCTGGTACGAACAAAGCAAAACAAACACTTTTAAGGAATCGAAAGGAAATATAAGCTCTAAATAATAAATTATATATCGAGTTCTTACGTTTTCGCGAATATTACACATAGGTAATGAAACTATTTTTCCGGATTTAAATCGCGTATATTTGTTTATTCAAACAAACCAACGTTTCGGGCCCTTTACAGGTCCCATAGTCACGGTTGACTGAGGTGGTACAGTCCATCAACCAGTTATGTCTTATTATATATTACTCTTATTCGTACCATGACAAACCTGTCAATCAAGTAATGTATTAGTGCTAAAGTGATTGAAAGAACTAATGATTTCCCAATATTGTCTATTCCTTACTAAAAATAGGAAAGAAATAACGCTATAAGAACTACATAATGCCATCTCTTTCTTTTTTGATGTTCCGAATCGTCTAGTCGTAGTTATAATGTTTAAGTACTTAATGTTATTTACATTCAGAGAATATTAACTGTTAAAAGTGTGTAATAATAAAATCTATTAAAATTACGTTGTTTTCAATTATTTTTCCGCATCTTCATGAAGAAAAATAAATAAAACAACCTGAGTCTTGACAGTCACGTTGTGAATTCGGAATTATAGTCTAAGGGTCGCATTCCAGAACTCTACTCAATGCTCAAGTCAGGATTTGAGCAGACTTGAGTATGATTTCAAGCACTGGAAGTACGACCCTAATAGCAAGTACTTGAGTATGATTGCTAGTGCTTTATAATTATATATATATATATATATATAATTATATATATATATATATAATTATATTAATAATTACACGCAAAAATAATAACATTAGGATGGATTATACTATGTTACATAAGCAGAAAAGAAGTCAGACACACTCAGCAAATGCTCAATCTTGCATGAAAACAAGTGACATACCATTTTAAGTCATATGACCCGTCTGCAGGGTACCGTCACTCCACTTTCACTGCGAGTAGATTTGCACAAGCTGAGTTATGTAAAATGCGAGCGTTTTCCCTTGTAAGGAGTCAACACACTTATCTCATAAAGCCGGTCAGACAAAGCTTTATGTTCTTTGTGTTAAGAGCGAAAAAACGTTGCGCGTATCGCATGGGCGGCACGAGCTAAGCGAAACGCACAACGTTTAAGGAAAGGACATCAGAAGGTACAATTCGTGTAAATTAGTGTGCCTTCCCACAAATGTCACACATAATTTTTGGATGATAATTTATGTCCTGGCCGTATTTCATTTAAGGGATTTATTAATTTTATACCAAGGAATATTGAAAATGCGATCAAAAACGGTCGCTTGAGCACAGAGCGCTCTGCAAAATAGCCTTTTTAAAAAAAAAAAACAGTTGCAATATTTGATAGGGGTATACACCGAAAGGTTTAACATTTGTAGGAGTGTTAGGCAGGGCTGTGGAACATCTCCTTGGTTGTTCAACCTCTTCATAGACAATTGTTTATTAGATTTGAAAGGTAGTGAATGTGGATTATGAATGAGAGAGTTACTTGTCAAATGCCTTCTCTATGTCGGTGATCAAGTACTTATAGCCTCATCGGGAGAACAAGTATTACAAGAGATGGCAACTAATTAGACATGAAGCGTTTGTAAGGAAAGGAATGAAAGTGAATGTGAATAAGACGAAAGTGATGGTAATTGAAAGGGATGAAAGAGTTACAGAATGCGACATTAGAACTAGCAGCGAGATATTAGAACAGGTAAAAGAATTTGTGTATCTGGGTAGTCTGTTGACAAGAGATGGTAAGTGTGAAAGGGATATTGAGAGGAAAATGCAAGCCTGAAATCGAGTGAATGGAGCCCTGTATGCCTTAATGGGTAGCTAGAATATCTCAAAACAGGCGCGTTTGGCTGGTCATCGGGGCGTGCTGATCTTAATGTATGGTAGTGAGTGTTCGGTGTGGCAGAAAAAACATGAAAGTACGGTGAATGCTGTGGAAATGAGAGCTTTGCGCAATATGTGCGATATTAAGATGATGTAGTCACAAGGATAGAGAGAGGGATGCTTCCATGGTTTGCTCATGTAGATAGAATGAATGTTGGTAGATAGACAGCACACATTTATACAGCGAATGTGGATGGAAGCGTAGGGAGAAGTAGACCTCAACGACCATATCTCAATCAGATTGAGGTTGTCCTTAAAACAGGTCGGGTTAAAAGTACCAACAATAAACGGGAATGTATGAAGATATTCATGGGAGTGGAAGAGGCGAATGAGGTTTGTCAGGAGCGTAGCAAATGGAGGTCCTGGAGTAATGGAGTAATGGAGGTGTGATTATATGTATGTATCTATGTAAGTTTTATCTGACCGGCTGCGGCTCTGTGATTCCGTGTTAATAAATGTGGCTGACTCCCTTACGTACCACTCATGCAAAGAGAATATTCAAACGCGTACGGACATGGTGTGCGCAAGTTTACTCGAAGTGAAGCTGGATTGTGTAGCCGGACCCTTAAATTGTATTTTTAATACAGTTGCTCAAAACGTGGTATTTTTCGTACTACAAATCGTGCCGAAAGTTGGATTTTTCGCACTAGCGCTTTTTAATTTTCCATTTTTTTTTAATTTACTGTTGTTTCAAGTCTTAAACATAGAACTAAAGAGGTTTTATATTTATTTAATACTTATGTGCTTTGTGACGTAAGTCATTTGCCATTAAAACTTATATTTACTTACAAACATCTTATTTGTTTAAATTGCATAGGTTTTTTTATAAAACAACGGGTTACATCAACAATGACCGGAGGTGAGTATTACGCGAGACTGGTGCGCGCCGCGCCACTAAAATACTAATTTTAATGTGGCTGAATACTGGCAACTATTGCCATTGCACTCTGAATTTTTATCAGACAAAGAAATAAAATTAGTTTTTTTTAAATACTGTTTTATTTTACTTTCAATGTAGTTTTTTCGCAAATGTATAATAAACGTCGTTTGATACACGTGCAGATTTGTCAATTTCACTTGTCTCGAGTCTCGAGACTCTTGAATAATGACTAACTTTCCGCATTTGTATCAAAAATAACTATTTTAGGTCCTTAAGTCATATCAGTCTGGTCCGGCACATGTGCTACAAAGCCTGTGAATTCATGCAGGCAGTAATGACAAACATCACTGAGTGCAGCATGGCGACCATGTGCGCAAAATTCTCAGAAGCCTGTTGTAGTGAGTATGAGTACGACTTTTTTATTCATCAATTCAGGTTAGGTTGGTCACTATTTGCCAACACACTTGGTTATAAAGGGCGTAAGAAGGACTGCAGGGTTATAAAACACGTGTTTAGTATAATTGACAAGTAAACCCTGGGGCTATTTTAAATTTAGTTTTGCCTTAGTAGGGAATTTGTTAATCTATTGAATTCATTGTCCAATTTCATGTCATTATCTTTAATAAATAACAATTTAAAAGTGAATTTAAAATACATATATTACAATTTAAAATTTAAAAGTCATAATACGAGTAAAAACGATTTTATTAAACAAAGTACTTTAACAACAGTGTGTGCAATTCCACTGCTTTAATTTGTTAAATCTCAAAGTGGCTTTGTACACTTTACCTACTATAATTTCGAGAAATCTGCGTTTCTTGCAAATTACATAAATTGTGAATTTACTAATTTACTGTAAAATGAAGTGTAACGGCGAATGTTGTTTTTTTTTTTGAGTATATTGTATTTGTCCATCGATCGGAGAACATTGGCCTAGACTCAACGCTGCTAGTAGAGACCTGGCTCCCATTGAAGGAACGGCACGGATTTTTAGGAAACGAATAGTAATAGCAAATCCATCACTTTATGATTTTGTACTTGAAATTTTAATTATAATAACAAACACATTCAACATAGGCCCGCACTGGGGAAACCCTGTGTCGCGGGTGCCATGGACACACATATAGACAAGCACAATTTACACCCAAACTCACGAGACAAACAAATGTAGGTCATACAAATATTTCTCCTGGCCCGGGAATCGAAACTGGGACCTCTGCGTGGCAGTCCGGCTTGATAACCGTTCGGCCACAGAGGCAGTTATTATTATTATTATTATAATAGTCGTAGCTACAAAAACAATGCTGCGGTACACTTAGGTATACCGAACTGGCAGCCTCCGGAATGCCTCGGCACCCTTCGGGATGCTACTGCAGGCTTCCGAAGGTTGTTTACCCAAAATCTTCCACTTCTTAAAATAAGTATAGGTCCATTCTTCTTCTTTTTTTATATAATGTCAAGTGACGGGACGAATAAGTCGTGCGCCTTATGATAAGCTACATGCTTGTCCATAACAGTCGCAGTGTCACTAAGAGCTTTAAATCGCAAAGATCTGAGGGGCACTGCCACTGCGCCCGTCACCCTGAGACATAAATTGACAAGTCCCATGTGCCTGTAATTTCACCAGCACCCTTACCCTTCAAAACCGGAAGGCAGTAATGCTGACATTACTGCTTGGCGACAGAAATAGGTGAGGTGGCAGTACTTCCCTGGACGAACTCTTTCACAAGGAAGTAGAACTCCTTGTGAAAGAGTTCGTCCAGGGACCTCTTCTTCAACAAGACTACCAGTTTCAGATATACAACTGGTAATAAACCAGCTTGCAACCTTACGACCGATCTGAAAGGCAAGAGCAAGCAAGAGTAGGGCATGCCTAAGGATCATCATTCAGCCATACGACGCCCACTGCTGGGCATAGGCCTCCCCCAACGATCTCCACGACGATCGGTCCTGCGCTGCCCGCATCCATCGGCTTCCCGCGACCTTTACCAGATCGTTGGCCACCTGGTGGGGGGCCTACCCACTGAGCGTCGTCCGGTGCGCGGTCGCCATTGAAGAACCTTTCCGCCCCAACGGCCATCGGTTCTCCTAGCTATGTGCCCCACCCACTGCCACTTCAGCTGAGAAATTCTTCGAGCTATGTCGGTTACCTTAGTTCTTCTACGGATTTCCTCATTTCTGAGGGTCTACTCTTGATCTCCGTCCGACATCCGTCCGAAACAATTGCAACTGATTCTATCACGTAGGGAAATATCGAGCATCGCTTTCTCCATTGCCCGCTGAGTGACCTTGAGCCTTCTTATGACGCCCATGGCGAGGGACCACGTTTCTGATCCATATGCGATCACTGGCTATACACACTGGTCAAAGATTTTCGTCTTGAGACACTGAGGTAATTTGGAGGCAAAGATTCTTTGTAGTTTCCCGAACGCTGCCCATCCGAGCTGGATTCGACGAGAGATCTCTTTCTGAAAGTTGGACTTACCTAACTGGACTGTCTGCCCCTGATATACGTTACGGCCAACAACTTCGAGTGTAATGCTCCCAATTTTAACTGGAGCGGGTACAACATGGACATTCGACATGATTTTCGTCTTGTCCATGTTCATCTTAAGACCCACTGCCTAAAGACACCGCCGCATAATTGCCATCATACAGTATGGGCTTGCATGTAGGAATGCCGAAGAATCTCTTGCCATGCCATCCCGCCAATGGGCACCAAGGCTTAGTTTATAATGGGGTAAACGACATGTGCAGTGTCGTTTACAGCACATGTCGTTTACCCCATCATAAACCCAAAAGGCTCAGATTATAATGTAATGTATTTATACTGTAAGTAAAATTATCGACAAGTACTTGCCCGATTACATGCCACGTCATGATAATATGATAATCAAACAATATAAAATAGTGATGTATGTACAACAATTTGTCCAATCCCACGATCGGCTGACATCTAAGTACGTGGGCGCGCTATAAGTTTCCGGAATGAATAAGAAACAAATACTATAAATGGTCAGAAATGAATATATTGTTTCTCGAAAACATTTTCTGTTAGCGTTAATGCACTTTTTCATACGAATTTACCAATTTTGAAAACATTTATGCCACTCCTCCTTGACAATCTGTGAAACATATTTTTCATACTCTTCGACAGCCTCTTCAGGTGATGAAAATCTTTGACCGCGTAACAGGTTCTTAATTTTTGGAAATAAATAAAGTTACAAGGTGCCAGGTCGGGACTGTACGCGGGATGGTTCATGACGTCAACGTTGTTCACCTGCAAAAATTCTTTTGTCTGTCTGGCCGTGTGAGGACTAGTATTATCGTGGAGCAAGATGATACGGCGTTTACGGAGTTTGTCAATAACTTCCGACAAACAAATGGTCGTGTCCCAATCATTATTCACGGTACAACGATTCTCCAAAGCAACAGTAGTCACGTGATCAGTTTTATTAAAAAAAGAAGCAATCATCCGCTTAGAGACACTTTGCACGCGCGCTACTTTGGTTGGTTTCGGCTCATCTCGAAAGACCCATACGGTCGATTGCTGCTTTGTTTTGGGATCGTAACTATATTTCGTCACCTGTTACTATGTCCCACACCAAATTTGACGCCCCTTAGTTGAATCTGGTAAACATGGCATTGCACCAAGTGACGCGATCCGTTTTTTGAGCCTCAATCAAATTGTGTGGGATCCAGCACAGCTTTTTCACACCCAAATGTTTGTGTAGTATTGATTATATTTGCTCATGACTCATGCCTATGCCTAAAGATGCCCGAATCTCATGGTATGTCTCATGCCTGTCTGTTTTGATCATACGGCGCACAGCATCTATGTTTTTGTTGTTCACAGCAGTGGACGGACGATCATCACGAAATTCGTGACTGAGATTCACACGACCGCGCTTGATTTCTGCAAACCAGCTACAAATAGGCGTCTTGCATGGTACTTCATCGCCAAAAGCAGTTTGAAGCTGAACGAAGCTCCGCTGAGCTGTTACAATACACTTGAAATCGTAGAAAATCATACTACGAAAATTTCCACGAACTAAATCCATTGTGATGTAGACAACCAATTTCTAAAATGACGCCACAAAGTAAAAACAAGTGACAGTCAGATGAAACAAACTGTATTCTACAGCCAAATAGTTCCATTTTCAAATGTTGTAATTACTTTTTAAATATTGTTTATGTAAGTGGCCAGTTCCAGAAACTTATAGTGCGCCTTATGTATTAATCTAATATTTAGCTGATTTCGTGGCCGAATGGTTACCGTGCCGTGTTGCCACGCGGAGGTCCCAGGTTCGATTGCCGGGTCAGGAGAAATATTTGTATTGCCTACATTTATTTCTCTCGTGAGTTGGGGTGTAATTTGTGGTTATCTATGTGTGTGTCCATGGCACCCGCGACACAGGGTTCCCTAGTGCGGGGATATGTTGAGTGTGCATGAAATTCGTAGAAAATCATACTACGAAAATTTTCACGAGTTGAATGGTTTAAATCCATGGTGATGTAGACAACTAGTTTCTAAAATGACGCTACAATGTAAAAACAAGTGGCATTCAGACGAAACAAACTGTATTCTACAGCCAAAGAGTTCAATTTTCAAATGTTCTAATTACTTTTTAAATATTGTGTATGTAAGTGGCCAGTTCCGGAAACTTATAGTGCGCCCTATGTACCATAAAACTCAAGTCATTTGTACACATTCAGCTTAAGGAAAAATTATAACTGTTCCATCCATCCATTCCATGCGGGTCTCCTCTCATGCAAGGGTTTAGGCCATAGTCCGCTCCGCTGGCCCAATGTGTGTTGGGGACTCACACGTTTTCCGAAGGTTGTGAAACTTAGGAAAAAGATATTTTCCTTCACCGATAAGGTCATGGTTAATATCATATTAAATTCGACACAAAAATTCCAAGAAACTCAGAGGTGCAAGCCCAGATTCGAACTCACGGCCTCTGCTTGAGAGGCGGTAGATCAAACCATTAAACTACAATGACGTCAAACGGGAGAAAATATATTTATTTACATCTACATAATTATAAATTCACTGACAGTACCGGAGCATGCACATTGGAGCTGGGTCTTACCAGGCGTGTTGAGATACGTGATCGTCATGATATTATCTGGTGTCGTCGGGTGGTGCATACTCATGATTGCTGAGTACAGAGTATTGCAGAAGGTAAATGTTAATAAATAAATAGATGTTTGTTTGTGTATTTGTCCCGTATGTGTATCATCATTATTCATTATTTCATGAGCTCTTGTGTCCACGCCCATATACGTTTCTCATCTTATTAGAAGAAACATTTTAAAACATCAAGTGGGTCAGTTGTTTCAACAAACGTGCATAGCAAAAGGTGATTCTTTTGTAGGTGCCCTTCTCCATTACGTGACTTTCTTATGTTTCAACAAAAGATGCAACACAAGACACAACCGTTTTTTTTTCAGTGGCATCGTAACGAATGTTTATAAAAATGTTATTTATGAGGGTGTTATTTACTACGTCTCATGGTCACTTTGGCAAGAGTAGGTACAATAACACAAAACCATACTAAAAACAGTTTACATACATATACTAATAAGTAAAGACATACAATAACAATTAAAAGTAATAACGCGGTAATGCTGCCAGTGTTATGGGGACGTACGAACCGGCTAAGATTTTAAGCGGTCATTTGTCATTCTTATAAGTTAAATAAAAATAACTAAGTTTGACGAATTGCATTATAGATTTTTATTTGACGAAGCCTGTTGCTTTTCTTTTAATAAAATCAAGCGACGGGATGAACAAGTCGTATAGTCACACGTCTGTATATAACAGTTGCAGTGCCACTCAGAGCTACACATCGTAAAGATCAGAAGGGCACCGCCACTGCGCCCATCACCCTGAGACACAAGTTGACAAGTCTCGTGTGCCTGTAATTTCACCCGCACCCTTACCCTTCAAAACCGGAACACAGGCCTACGTTGTAGATATCTAATTGACAAACATTAAAATTAGAACAAATATGCAAAGTAGATAGTATAGTCTACTTTAGCGTCATGCCAACACGGAATTTATCGCAGTATATGCTGCAGTAGATAGTTGTAAAAACACTAGATAGTTGTAGGAAGTTGTACGTCATAATGTTTTAAGTAGCTATAATAATATGTTTATCAGGATTCAGAATTAGAGCTTTCGAAATCGATAGTCGGTGTGGTCTCGAAACACTAGGGAAAAGCGAGACTTTTATGTTAGGCATTTAGGATGTCTTCAAAGTAGACGCTTATATGAGCGATGCAGTGGCCCGCTGTGGCGCTGCAGCCGCGCCACTACCAGTTTTCATATAATATTTAGAAGCGCAGTGCAACTGCGTGACACATGTGCGCTACTTTTGCTGTCACAATTATTAGTGAACTAAAAATTACTGAGGCGCTACTGACGCGCGACTACGGTTCATTTTGCTTGGGTCGATCAGCAGGGACACTAGCTTTGCGTTTGCCACTTTTGCAGTCACAATTAGTGAAGTAAAAATTACTGAAGCGGCACAGTCGCACCACTGTAGCGCTTCCACAAGCGTCGAATTTGAAGGTGCTCTAGTCAAAACATGATATTTTACCTCAAATTGTAAAATAAAAAGATTACAGATCCTCAGAAATTAGGCATCTAAGCATTGACTTACAATTATATGGACGTCGGGTCCGCGCTAAAAAGTGTCCGAACTTATAGGGCGTTAAAATCGTATACTAAAATCGTAGACTAGAGCGTCATTCACGCTTTAGTCTTCGTTTGTTCGACTGACAGCGAAGCAAGCAAAATTAGACAGTACTGCGATGACATTACAATTTAAATTCAACGTTTTAGCTTTTTCATATTCCTTTACATGTCACTACGTTTAAATAGGTTGACTTGGGACATTTTTTCGTGGTTTTTGTATTAGACCCGTCGTCCATTTATTTGTAAGTCAACGCATCTAAGAGACGAATCTCGGAAATCCATTGCTCTCTTTGTTTTGTAGATATTCTATACGAAACGTGTACCACCGCCATTGAATGAGAAGAAGTTAGACGACGACGTCTTGACAGAAATGAGACACGTCGAAGAAATTAACAAAAGGCAAGGGGACCATAGCTTAGTGGTAAACAAAATTACCAAATATTATGGCAATTACCTCGCTGTTAATCAAGTGTCTTTCAGTAAGTATTTACGCGTTCAAGTTATTAAAATAGGGCTGTTAGATTATAAAAATTACAACTACTTTAGGTAATCATTTTTCAGGGCGAACGATTATCGCTTTCTAAACGTCGGGTTGCTGCTGCCCTTGTAGTGATTATGATAACAATAAGGGCGAACCTCCAGGTCGCTTTAGTTCTAAGGATTTGGTCTCAAAATTTGACATCCCTGTGATCAGGTTCCATGTAGTTTTATGTAGAGTCTCCAACATTTGAATGAAAAGAAAAAAATCTTCATAGAATTATCACGAAGCCACGCTATCACGAGTTCCGATTTGTATCAAGCCAAAACGAAGTGACTTTGTTAATTTTCAGCTGTTAGTGAATCGGAATGTTTTGGTTTGCTGGGTATAAATGGCGCAGGCAAGACAACCACATTCAAAATGCTGATGGGTGACGAAATGATATCAAGTGGTGACGCTTACGTCGCTGGGTATTCCGTCAGGACTGAAATGAACAAAGTTTACAGGCATATTGGTGAGAGGTTTATTCAACAATTGAAACCATATCATAATAATCACGTATGAGTAATGCCATGATTGCAATAGCTTGCTTGCTTGGTTGCACAAAAGTAACGTCCCGGCACGACGTGCCATTCCCTGTCCTGTGCTTCTGGGGCACCGCGGGCAACAATTGGCGAGTACCCTATACTGATTTGCAAATACTTTTAACCCGATGGCAAGCGTTATACTGTATCTCATCGATACGATACGAAGAAGAGCAGCTTGCTCCACATAAAGTGGCTAAATAAAGTCTTTATTTCTTACCACAATACAATATCATATCACTTCTTTCGCTCTTCACGCAATTCGTCTTTGGTACGCGCTCCTGCTCCGCTACGACAACCCCAAACGAAATTATATTTCAAGGCGCAAGCGCTTTTTGATCTTCATCTTCAAGATCAAGACTCTACATAATGTTGCATTGGGTAGTTATATAATTATATAGTGTAACGGAAAGGTGCAGTGGAAATTCAAGGTCGTAGAGAGTTACTATCAAATAGTAAATTGGCATTGCTTTTTGTTGAAAATTATGATTAATTAAAATAATTTCAGTTTAAAAAATTACGAAAATTTGTCGATTTCGGTTTAAAATCGTGCTCTAACATCACTTACCTCACTCACTTATTATGAAGTTAGTCGAAAATGGCGGAAAAATTTAATGTCCAATTTGTTTTTATTTAAAAATGGTAGAGTATTTTATAATTAGAAACATTTTTATACAATAAGATTCAATGCCTACAGTTTTGTTTTTGATTAATAAAAATATCTGTCGCTGTCGGTCAGTCTGTCATTGATATCCCGTGTTGTTCTTTCCTTAGACTATTTCTTTATTTTTTCCATCCTCTAAGGTTATTTCACATTTTGTATTCAATAATTTCGGAATAATCATAGTAATGTCATTTTTAAGTAATTCAGAATATTATGAAATAATGCTGTGTGTCGGAGCAGCAGTCGGAAGTTTAGACCAAGCCCGTGAGAGATTTATCGATGGTAGACCAGAAGCTGAACGCGGTCAACTTCCTTCGAGAGTCTGCTTTCGGAATACGGTTTTGAGACTTCAAACTACTGGCACATTCCAGGGAGACCGACCAGAAGGTCGCCCAAGTGTTCGTGATCCTGACATAGAAGAGGAGATCCTTTCGAAAATAATCCGCAGACCAACACTCGCCGAACAGCTGCAACTCTTGGGATTGCAAACCATACGCATACAAAACAAATTAAAAAAAAACTATGTTAGAAGCACGTCTTTCATAAAGTACACTTTTGCGTTTACTTTAAATATTTATTTTTGTCTTTGTGACTCTTTATTTTATTTATGAAAATGTTAACTGTTGACATACTAAAAAGGTATTTTTGTGAGGAGCGACATTATAAAGGGTTAGGATACTTTGATCGTGCGATCGGTTGGTAACGAAAACCTATTTTATAACCCAAATAACCTTCAATTTGTACACTTTGATTACGATATCACCTGCCCAATTGCTGAACGATTTAACGTAACCGATCGCGCGATTCGATTGAACTGAAAAAATTTTCAAATAGTTTCCCAACAGATCACAATATTTTTAAATAATTTTTTTTGTAAATTATTCCAATGCAAAGAAATTGAAACTTCGAAAAATAATGTGTTTTGTTGGGACTCCACTTAAAATATTATTTCAGTTGAATCGAATCGCGCGATTGGTTGCAAAAAATCGTACGGCAATTAAGCAGGTGAAACTGATATCGTGATCAAAGTATACACGTTGAAGGGCATATCCGTTGCCACTACCAACCGACCACGCAATCAAGGTATACAAACACTTATAAAGTATGTAGGTATCTAATAATAGCAGCATTGTTATTAACTAATGAAAATTATAAAATCATAAACAATGAGACATTATTGAGTTAGGTCGATGATACTACTACTAATACTCTTTTGTGAGACTGAAGTTTTGATTGATTTGTTTTCTAGTGAAGTACAAACTTTTTTGTTACAAAACCATAATCAATGGGATAAAAGTAAAATTGTGACAATGACAATGTCAAATTATTGCATCTAACATTGAAAAGAGTGAATTTTAGCACTGTATTTTATAATTCTACTAATTTTAAGTACGAATAAAATAAAATAACTAGTGCTATGTAAATAACGATCTAAAATAATTCCTAGCATCTTTCACAGTTCATGCTGTTAACCATCGAATGTGTCCTGATCTGCGTTTTGCAGTGATTCTATGAAATCGGATAAAAATTTGTCCTTTCAGTGTTTTCAACCGTAAAATGCGCTATAATATTTGTGACATGTGCTCAGAAGTAGAAGTTTCGTAAGTAAATAAATAATAAAATCTATTAAGTCGCGTATTTACGACAATTTCAAAGCAAGTGCTTGTGTGAGATTAGGGATTGGCGCGCTCCATTTTAATATCGATGACGACGAATTATCGTAATTTTTTGAAATGAAATTAATTAGACAAAATATTCAACTAAAATATCAGTGCCAATTTTCTATTTGAAAGTAACTCTCTACGTTCTTGGATTTCCACTGCACACTTCGGTTACACTCGGTGTACCTATATGTATATATTAAGTATCTTTATTTAAGAATATTACCTTTATTTTACACCATATAAATTAACTATCCAATTTTGGCTTATAGTCATTGACTTACAAATAAATGGTCGACGGGTCTAATACAAAAACCATGAAAAAAATGTCCCAAGTCAACCTATTCGAAATTTAAATTGTAATGTCATCGCAGTATTGCGCTGTCAGTAGAACAAATGAAGACTAAAGCGGAGTTTGGCGCTCTGTATACGATTTTAGCGCCTTACAAGTGCGGACACTTTTTAGCGCGGATCCGACGTCCATATAATTGTAAGTCAATGCTTATAGTACAAACATTTTGACGGACTCCGTGGTCGAGTGGATTGCACACCGGATTTCATGGTGTCACCATCTCTGAGGTCCCGGGTTCGATCCCGAGCCGGGTCAGTGTAGAAAACTAACTTTTCTATATTGTCTTGGGTGTTTGTGGTACCGTCGTTATTTTCTATTTCCATAACACAAGTGCATTAGTTACTTTGGGATCAGAGCAACGAATGTGATGTTGTCTAATATTTGTTTATTTATGTTGGTAACAGTAGAGCTCCTTGTGAAAGAGTGCATATTTCGAGTTCAGAGTTCGTATTTCTGTTGCCAAGCAGTAATGTGATCATTATTGCGTTTCGGTTTAGAAAGATAAGGGTGCTGGTGAAATTACAGACACATGGGACTTATCAACTTATGTCTCAGTGTGACGGGCGCAGTGCCAGTGCCCATTGCTATTTAAAGCTCTGAGTGGCACTGCAACTATTATGGATAGGCGTATCGCTTCACCAGGTGCACGACTTGTTCGCCCTGTCACTTGACTCCAATCTGATTGAGATATGTACGCCGAGGTCTACCTCTCACCAAGGGTAACCTATCACAAACTCGAATTTTTTTTCCGAAATAACGTACTCGAACGTATTCGAACGTAACGTATTCGAATTTTCATTACACCGAAAACCGAATTATAACGAAACCGTTGTTCTTTCAGGATATGTTGGATGTTTATCGCAAAGACATGATTACGTTCAGTTAGGTTAGGTTAGTTAATTAGTTTAAAAGAAAAAACATTTTCCTCTCAAAATTACTTTCGAGGTTATGAAAATTGGACCAAACATTATTTCTGGAAAATGTCATTTCGGATACTGATAATGTGGATGGATGCTTGGTGAGGGTTACCCACCAAGCATTTTATTATTATTATACATATTATTATTTTAGGTTACTCACAAAAAGCCCATGCGCGCTAGTTTTTAAAACATTAACCATCAATTTCACTCCTTCATTTCATATGGCAACCCTGCCAACGATCACCACGTCATAGGACCATGGCCCCGGCGGTGCAGCAATGGCGGCGGCGGCGAACGCGGCCAAGCGCTAACGAGTCAAAATTATTTTTTTGCTGTAAATTAGAAAATAAATTCCATTAATTGAGAAAACGATATCCTGAACAACACAAACGTGGTGACGGCAGGCGAACATAAAAACACAATCGAGCCGAGACTGCCCGATCCAATTACTTTTGTAATCGTGAAAATAAACGGGGCAGCAAATTTAACTTTGGCACCGGGCGGTACTGCCCACTATGAGCATATAAGCAACCAGCCAAGTTCCATGCAATTGACTTGACGTGGTAAAATGAAATTGCTTAATTCGTATCATTACGTACACAAAGTTGAACGGGAATGGCATGTCAGGACGATGAGTTTTACTTTCAGGTCAGATGACTATTATACTTAATGATAGACGACAATAGCGTCACTCCCTCTGCACCCTCACCCAGTCAGTTTGACCTAAAAACTGACGTGGCTTTTGAAAACAAAAAAACCATGATCTTGATTAGTTAATATGATTCGTAGATAGCTTAGCAAATCGTTTCTGTAATAATCAGAAAACAGCACGTAATAACATTAAACAATAAACAGAAATCTGTTACATTATGTTTGAAGTGACAACTGGCACCGATATGTATGCCTACTTGTACCATCTTTCGTAAACCATATTTGAAGCAAATAAAAGAATATCATTCATTCATTTAACTGAAAGACTCCACACATCAAAAATACAACACCATAATTAATAGCATTCCAGAGGTACGTAAGTAGGTATTATCCTTCTCTGTATTATGTATTATGTAGTTTAGGTAAGTATACCCTCCGATCTCTGATATGTTATAAAGCACTAATTATCAGCTCAATTTAACCAGGTTATTGTCCACAATTCGATGCTGTGTTCGACGAGATGACTGGCCGGGAGACTATGAAGTTTTTCTCGATGCTCCGAGGCTTGCAGCCTACCAGTGCGTCTAAACAGACTGTCATGCTGGCCAAGGCACTTGGATTCACCAAGTATCTTGATAAGACGGTGGTATGTTGCTTTAACGTTGTCACAAACATTATCGCAATTACAGTAGTTACCCTAAGTCCTAAGTGCCATATTCCTTTATAAATATATATAAATGACTTATTTGAATTATATAACAATAGCGCGCGGCTAGCCGTCCGCGACTAGCTGGGCGGTATCGCGGCCCGTGTTTCAAACGCGCGACGTGACAAAGGAGGGGGAAATTTCCCTCCTGCGTGCGGCCTGTTCGGTTACGCCGCCCGCTGGTCGCTAACTTCAAAGGCGCGGCGCGAGAGCGCACCCGGCCTGGCTCTCGATACATACCCGAGTACGCGCCTTCACGCGCGTTGGCACGAAGCCGCCCGGGCTTATCCGTTTCGCGAGCTCGCCTATACAATCGGCGCGTTTGACATCACAGGCCGCGGGAATGCACCTTTAGTAGAAAATGCGTGTAAGACAGGAACAAACCTATAGAATTATACGCGAATGACAAGTGAAAACGCATTGGCATTTTATAAGCATGTACAAAACAAATGTAAATATGGCCCGGTCGTATTGGCCTGGTCTTGTTAAGTTTTATTAGAAGTGCAATGTCACCACACTTATCTACACGGAATGGCATTAAGCTGGCGAGAAAAACCAGGTTTCGTGTTATCCGGAGAATTCTCACAATCTCGGGAATTCCTTCAGCTACAGTACCGTATCTAGTTTGCACATTACACAATTGATATAAAGCTTATATCAATTGTGTAAAAATTGTACAATTTCGTTGCAAAAAAATGACTTCCATTCCTACCTTTATGTTTTTGTGCAGTCGGAACATTATTGCGGCGGCACCAAGCGGAAACTGAGTACGGCAGTAGCGTTGCTCGGTCAAACGCGACTTCTGTTTGTCGACGAGCCCACCACCGGCATGGATCCTGCAGCTAGTCGAAAGGTAAATAGCACAGATGAAATAAATACTAGGTAAATATTATAAATGCAATCGGAGTCACACAAAAAAATATCGAACCTCTATTTCAGTTACTTGATAGTAACAGAAAATAATTCTTTGGATATAAGTTTGAAAACTATGAATCCGCTAGTTAAGTTTAAATCATAGTCAATGTACCCCACGGTGAATAACTACATCGTACACAAAGCGTGGCCGACTATGGCATAAATCCCTCCCAAGAGAATCGTCCTGTGTCAAATATTGAGCAGTACAATAGGTTGAAGCTGGTGATGAGGGTGATACCATAGTATAGTAAGACAAGTAATATAACTCCATACAAACGTAGCAGCGCGACTTTTGGACGCCTCTCGCGCAATGTGTACGGACGCATGCATTCGCATGAGCTCGCGTTGCACAACGCGGGTCGTCGCATGCGACGTTCATTAAAGATTAAAGCGTTCGCTCGGTGTTTAAAAAATGACATCCAATCGATACCTCTAATGAGTAACAGTAGAGCTGAGACGGGCGCAGTGGCAGTACCACGAAGTGAAGTTATTTGAAGCTCTTGAGTGGCACTGCAACTGTTATGGACAAGCGTGTAGCGTATCATCAGGCGCACGACTTGTTCGTCCTGTCACTAATTATAATAAAAAAAATAATAAAAAAATTACTACGCCAACTTTATATTGGTCAGTTTCTGTTATTTTTGTAAACAGCCATATTTATTTACTAAAATTATCGTCCACAAAATTTATGAAAAAAAAACCATAAACAGAACAAGTCCAAAAATTAAGTTGGCGTAGTTCATTGGAGGTGTCGAAATAGTAGAGACGTGTTTATTGTTGTGTTTCATCATCATACTCGTATAATCGAGACATCCGCGATGCTGGTTTAAAATATATCAGTACGCAAGTACTGCATTTAACAAAGATTATTTCAGTACATCACAACCATATTATGATGAACATCTTATTTTTTTCAGATTATGTTTACAACCTGTATGTACAACTTAAATAATACGTGACAACCCTACGCTGCGAGGTTAATGTAGGCATTTAAGCGCCGATCAGGCGGGAGTAGCACTATTCGTTTTATTCTGCTATGGTGATACTTAAGGACTTTGGAATAGAGGCACTATTAACTATTCACTTTTGTTAATGTCTCGCGTTATGAATACGAATGAATTCTTCAACATGGCGATAAGAGCTAAATTTGGCAGCCATTTTTATATAAGCTATGTCCGAACGAAATTATTTTGAGTTATATTTAGCATGCATAAGATTCTGTATATCTATCTGTATAGGTTTGGACAGCAATTCAAGGAGCTCGAAGTGCTGGCCGTGGAATAATCCTGACGTCACATAGTATGGAAGAGTGTGAAGCTCTTTGCTCACGACTGACAGTCATGGTCGACGGAGGTTTCCAATGCTTGGGCACTCCGCAACATCTCAAGACAAAGTTTTCTCAAGGTCCTATTTACGTTTTTAATACTTCGCAATGACTTTCATACTCACTATACATCTGAAGTCGTCGTTTTTAAGGGAATGGAGTTAGTAAACCTTTGTCTGTGCATCTGTGTGACTTTCTCTGTCGTATCGTAGCTCCCAAACGAATGGCAGTCCATCTCAAAGTCGCTTTTGGGGCTAATTTAATTGGGATGATTCTTTGCTATGTTTAATGAACATCTCTATTCAGCTGTTTAAAGATCGTCATTTGTTTTCCCAGTCAGTGTAGGGATGTAAGGCATACAATGAATATTTATGTTACTTCCACTTATCCCATTGATTTGGAATTTGGTATCGTCGAGGACATAATTTGGTATTCTATGAAAAGCCGATAACATTAAAATATTATGATAACGTTCTCATGCCGCAACCTGGACAGTCTGCAACTACTACCGTTAGTCCTCAACCACTTAAAGTACACCTGTCGTGTTTGGGCTCATTAAATTGGCCTCGAATAACTTTTTGGAGTACACTGTTTTGTATCGGGTTTCTTTTAAATTTTAATTTAAGTGTTATGTTTCTTTGTGTTTCGAAACCATAATTAAGAACCGCGTCAGTTACCCCATTTACTGGTAAAAATCATCAACTGGCAAAAAATATTACAATTTGCAAGAATGAGATGGTAACACTATATAAAAATATTATTGTCAATTCACAGTTAAAGATTCCTTATGGTCTGTTTTGAAGTACCAATGACTTGATACCAGCTTATTTGGCGCAAGAATAAACTTACCCTTAAATTTAACAGTGGATTGACACGTTTTATTAATTACAAATTGACATTGTCTTCCAGGTTTCATTTTAACAATAAAATTAAAAGCAGACGATGAATCTGATGAAGCGTTGAGAGAGGAACATACAAACGCAATGAAGAATTACATCAGCAAAAACTTCAAAGATTCAAAACTCATGTAAGTGAAATTAGACCTTGTACGTGTTTATTCTAATAAAGATAAACCAATTTAAAAAAATGAATTTCCCAAGCAAAACCTTGGGTAATTTGACTATTTTGAAAGGCATTAAGGCAAGGCAAAGGGTATGTGGATGAGATGAAAGGGTAGTGGAATCGACAGCGAACGACAACTATGGTATATTGGAAATGAAACTATTTTCTCAGGTCACAGCTTACTGTGAGACATGCAAAGTGCCCGAAATGTCGGTTTCTTTGAAAAAACAAATATACGCGTACTGTATTGCAAAAAAGTAGTTTGATTTCCAATGCACATCAGTTGCCAAAGCCTAAGAACTCCATAACTTTGATGTACGTTGGACTGAGTGACCTTTAAGCTGGTAAAAAGTTCTGTTTGATAGACTAACTGAATGTTGATTCACGATTTGTTTACAGCTTTATTTATCTCTTACAACCTAATCGCATATTATGTTTATTAGTATGATATAGCTTTGCGTTAATTTTGGTTAATGGTGTCATAGTATAATAAAACAAAAACGCAAGTGACAAAATATTTTTTGAGATATCTTAAAAAAACCATAAATGCTGAAACAAATAATATATCAGCTACGCATCATTAGGGTAGATTCCGATAAGTCGAAAACGTTAACTAATTTTAACTGCTTATAAAAGAGAATTTTGTGCTCTATTTTTTGCTATTTAAAATGGATATTTGACCATTTGTCACATAGTCGCGATTTAGATAGTGGACGGCAAGCGCAGCAGCGCGGCTTATACATTGTGTACATGTGTACGGGACGGGCGCACACATTCCTTTGACATGTGTGATGAAACATAACTAATAAACAACAGACGATCGATATCGTATTCTTTGTCGATCGACATGAGTAATCAGACGAAATCGAGTAAGTAATTGTGTAAGAAGCAGACGATGATCAACACTTGTCGATCGTCAAAAAATCGAGCATAGATTTGCTAGACACCTTTATATATCAAGAAAAGAGAGAGAATTTTGAAGAGAACCTCGGTGATAAGTGAAACGAACACTTAGGTGGCCCAGCAGTTTGCACTGAGGATACTGATGAGGAGGTCCGGGGTTCGATTCCCAGTAAGACAGATTAAAAAAAAAATGTTGTTTATAAATTTGATTCTGGCCTGGATGTTCTGGGTAGTGCCCCAGAGTGAATTCCGCTGGTCTGGTGATTCTTTAGCTAATTTATATTTTCAGGGAGGAATATCAAGGTCTAATCACGTACTATCTGCCGGAAACCGGAATTCCTTGGTCGCACATGTTCGGCATCATGGAGTACGCCAAACGAGAATTGTACGTTGAGGACTACAGCATCTCACAGACCACACTGCAGCAAATCTTCCTGCAATTCACTAAGTATCGTCAACCAGACAGCGGTAATATAGGCAAAGTAACTATCAAAGGCGCTGATACGGCCGACAGCAGAACAAAGAAATTTTATAAGAAGATATTTGCTTTTAGGGAAAATAAGTGAGCAATGTTCTTGTTTGTGACACATTATTTGTAAACAGGTAGTCGAAATTGAAAAAGCTTGTGACTATTAATTTAGACTCGTATCGTGAGCGTCAATCTGAAATTAACCTTACGCTGAGAAGACTTTGGGCCATTAGGCCCAACATACATATTAATATAGCTTACACGATGTTCTGGAATGAATTTAATGTAACGAAAGCGATATAACAATTTCTATTTTTATATATATTATTTATTTCACTTTGCGTTGTTCCTTTCATTAATAAGGGAGCCACCACACTTACTACGCGGGATCGTCTTGAGTCGGTCAAATAAGGCTTGTATGTATGTTGTATAATAAGAGCGAAACGTTCTACGTCTTCATTGCTGGTACATGGATATGTCTTTTTTTTAACCGGCTCGAGCCGCTTTCACGCAACTATGTGTGGTGACGCCATTAATTATACTAGTTTTTATTTAGATAGTGCGTGGCTCTTCGGTTAACTTTTGTACAAATTTTCTTGTTCTTATTCTCGGATATAAAATCAAGTTAAGCTATTTAATAGAATTTGTTTTTGTACGTACGTACGTATGTAGGTTGTTGTAATATACTCCCGGACACGTAATTCGAGCCACCTCGTATTTTTGTCGTAAAGGGCTAGAATACAAAAATAGTGTTATGGTCGAAGAAAAAGTTTTCCCCGGTTTTGAAAATATAAATTCCCAACAAGGAGTTGATGGAAAAGACGTTTAGTATACTAATTTCCAAATTGCATAATAGTTTTTGATCATTCAAACATTGTTTTAGCTTAGGACACTTAATACTGAAAATGCGTGGTGGCTCGAATTATGTGTCCGGAAGTGTATTTGTGTACTTTAGTGCAGTTTTAAACAAGACCGAGTACAATCCACGAGAAATTTTTTGTGATTAACAATTGAGTACCTATTAGTTTATATACAAGCCATCTTACGATTTTGTGATTGTAAAAATAATAAGAGATATATTTCTTTTGGAAGAATACGATTTTTATTTAAAAACCTCTTACGTACAATCCTTGTAATGCACATTTATCAGATTAATATACTCCGTCCAACTATTGATAACTTTTGACAGCACGAATTCTAATCAATTAGTGATGTACTAATGCGCCTCCGGTTCGATTTTGTTTTATAACAATCGATTTTATTCATGAAGAAGTTTAAATCGTGAATGTGAGCGGGTTCAAAAAAGAAGATATTGTCTGATTGGGATCGTTATGTTGCGTTTTACAATTTGTATACTCTACAATTAATAATTAATGTTAATGAGGATTCAAATGATGATTCCCGTTCATATGGAGAAGAAACCGACGATTCATTATAATAAAGAATAAAAATTTATTATGATCATTTATAATTTATTTCATTTTATTATAATTTATTAGGCAGGTACCAAAATTTATCAACTTGAATAATCTTCGATACATAATCTATTGGCTCGATAAATACCGGAGCTGAAGAGCACGTCGCTTCACTAAAATTTAAACATTAAAGAGTCCAGGGAGCCATAACCTTTCCAAAAACAATCTTATTTCATAATTTGATTTTTAATTCGGAACTTAATCACGTATTAAACATATTTTATTTACCTCCACGTTTCGGACATATTGCAACAGGACCAAACCACTGGATTGAGCTTCATAATCCCAAGATCCTTTCTACAGAACGTCATCACTATAGTAGAATCGTATGTGAAGCTATTGAAATTAAAAAAAACACCGTAATTTCAACCGAGAAGACGGTTTTAAGCTTTCATGGTCATGGGATACAGTTATCAGCAAATGTAAACTGCCTCAAGTATCGCCCAACAAGTCGCCGGATGTCGTGAGTGTTGTGTGTCGGTCTAGTGAGAACCCCAGTGCACAAATAAATAATGAAGATCAAGTGCGGGTAGTTAGATAAACTCGCACGGCTAGAAAATGCTGACACCCGCCTCTTCAGACCCTTCGAGACCATGGACGTTGCAATATGTCCGAAACCTCGAGGTAAATAACATATGTTTTAAACGTGATTAAGTCCCGAATTAAAAATCAAATAATGTGTGAAAATCGTGACAGTTTAAATCAAATTAATCTTATTTCAATGTAAGCTTCAAGTAAGCTTATTATAATATTACTCATATTGGTACCATGACAAACCTGTCAACCTAGTAATAAGATAAATTTATTTCAATTTAACTTAATCTAATACAATATAAGTAAAACAAATGTAAATAAAGGTATTATAGTATTCAAATAAGAATTAACAAGGGAATCTGAATTATACATTCTTCCTAGTAAAGCGATACATTTTAATATTAGCATCTAATGTGTAATTGCGATGCCCAAACTAAGTAAATCTATACCTGTATTTTAGGCATCGTTTTGGGCAAATTTCTTTATGTTACAGCTTAAAAATAGTTTTTTTTTTAATATTTAACAATAAAATAATTAGTGGTTATAAATTAATGGTACCTATATAAAACAACAAATTGTAATTATGAAACAACTTCCAGCAACGTCCTCTGTTTCATTGTAAGTCTTACTTTTAAGCCACAATTTGACGGTCCTTTTACATTCTATTGTTCATGGCGAAATAATGCAAATTAGAATTTAATTTAAAGTAAAGGAATGTACCAAGGAAGCAAAAGAATCTATGCGAGTGTGCTGTGCGAAGTTGTGCACGAGATGAAAAGATACAGTCGTCTGTGGTTGGTTAAAGTAACGGAATCAAATGGAGTAATCGAGTGCTTTTTCAAAATTATTTGTTGGATAAACAGTTGCCGAACCGAGAGGAAATCGCACACATTTAGAAGTTTCACAGTTTGCAGGTTCTATAATAAAAGGATGGAAGTTGATGACTTTAAGAACAGCTCTCTGCGCTCTTTCCAGATTTATAGGGGTGGTCTTATGTGCACCGCCACAGGATGTAATGCAGTAAAGTAGCAATGATTGACAGAGGGCTAAATACAGTGATTTGAGAAGGGCGCTGCTAGCTGCGTATCTTACATTTTTAAAAACATATATGAATTTTTGATTTCTAAAAGTAAGCGCTATAATATGGTTATAAGATGACTGTCAATTATGACACCTAAATATTAAATGTCGTTTGTGCTGTCCAGTGTTGGACAAGCACAGAGGTTTAAATGAGTTCGAGGGCTTGTACAATGGTGAGCTACTATTGAAAAAGCATTATCAGGAGGTTGTGAGGAGATATTGTATGAGAAAGTTATATATTTAGTTTTGCTAGTATTCAGTGTAAGGGCATTCGCTTTGAGTCACTCGGTTACTGAGTTAAAACCAAATTGAGCTTGTGAAAATGTCATTCCAACTTGAGGCGCTGAATAGTCGTCTGGTGATGATACAGTCAGTACAGAGGAGATGAGCGCATAGTTGGTTAATATAGACCAGGAATAGGATTGATCCTAATATGCTTCCTTGTGGAACACCATATTCGATCGGTAATTATTCGTCACTCGTTATTTTGTCAATCGTCTCACGAGCTGCATTCCTCCAATTCCAAGTACTTGTTTACAGTGTCAAAGGCTTTTGCGAGGTCAAGGAAGATAGCCAAACATTTATTCTTCGAGTCCAAATTTCTTACAATGTAATCAGTCAGTTCGTCAACTGCGTCGTTCGTCGTTCTGAACCCATATTGAGACGTCGATAGAAGTTTCTTAGTTTGTAAGTAGTTAATAAGCCTTTTATAGATTATTCTTTCAAGTAGCTTAGAAAGAGATGGCAATATTGCAATTAGACGGTAATTGTTAATATTGCTCTTGTCGCCGCTTTTGTGAAGGTTTTATAAGGGCTGTTTTCAGTACTTTGGGAAATGTTCCTGTTAATAAACAGAGATTGAAAATGTAGGTCAGGGGTGGCATCGAACAATTTTTATGTTGTTTAATGAAAGAGCAGGGAATTTTGTCAATTTCTGTCGCACAGTCATTTCTTAAAGTCATAATAATGTTTTCAATTTCAGTTTCGTTAGTGTTGATCAAGACAAATGAGTGCCATTGTGAGGCGTGAGACGAGGTCATGGTTACTGCTGAAAGTGGGAAGTTGATTTTTACCTTTTTAGCTAGAAGTTTTCCTACATTAGTGAAGAATGAATTTGCTGAGTTAACAGTTTGAACAGGCATGTTCTGTGTTTACTATTAGTTGGTGGGCAGAGGATTTGGAGTTAGTCATGTTCGTAATATTTTTGATGACTTTCCACAATATCTTTTTATCGTGACCTACATTAATTATTTGTGTTTTTTCGTTTTAATTTCTTTAATAGATTGTTACAGAAATTCCTATAACTGTAATAACTAGTTTTAAGGGAATGTTCGGAAACTTAACAAATTTTTTATGAGGTTTATCTCGATTTTCAGTGCAGCGCGATAAGCCTGGGGTGATCCAAGGTTTAATTATTTTATAGCGGCACGTGAATCTTTTAGTTGTTGTATTTACTTCTATTATTTTAGTGAGCGAGCTCATCAAATATTCCATTGCTATATTGGCGTCAGTTGATTTGTATAATGGTGACATATCTAAGATAGCAAGGTCCCGAGCCACGCCCTCCTTATTCAGTTCTGTATAAGAATTTATAGATTGGGTTCTATTGAAGTTCTTTTGTATGCTTAGTATTGTAAGTCAATGTTAATAGCAATGAAAATGTACGAATACAAGATACGGTCCAATTATGTTATCAAATTACAAACCCCCCTTATTAATTTCAATGATAATGACTAAAAATGACATTTTAATTTGTCGTATGACAAATTGTAAAGTATGATTGAAAAGTAACCGATATAACAAAACAATGTAATAAGTATAATTAATAATAAAATTAATAAAAAATATCATTCTCATTTTGAACAAAATCGGTTAATAGTGCTCGAACGCTCCCAGGATAGTACATTTGTCTATTTCTTTCATGTGATTTAGTCTTTAGTACTCTTGTTAGATGTCAGCTAGCCAGCCAGAGACAATAATTAACGTTTAAAAAGTAAAATTCATCATCCTGGCATGCCATTCCGGTTCAACTTTGTGTAGGTCATGATCATCTAAATCTATGGTCATGATACGAATTTAAGCAATTCAGTTTTACCACGTCAAGTGAATTGCATGGAACTTGGCTGGCTGGTTATAAACTCATAGTAGGCCCCCAGGTCGTCTAATGAATTGTAATAAATAATCAAAATTAGCAATGTTAGAATCGATACTCAAAAATAAGAAAACGAACCGTGGAGGTGCTCCGTAGATCTCCAAGTAACGATTTATTTACATTACATTTATTGAAATTAAACCACTGAGCTCAAGTTAACAGAAAATTTGGTATGTTAGTAAATTCTTGTAGTATAAATTGAAAATATTTCCAAGTGCATTGAAAAATAGACTAGTACCTACAAAAAAAACGATCTCCCGATAATGCTACCAAAAGTAAATAAATAAGTAAGATGCTTTCTTTCATGATGGTTAATCAAAGAAAGCAGCTCATGGGGTATTATTTGCCCTAACGACCTATTAAAAGTACAAAATATTCGCCCTGAGTACCTCCTTGGTAGTTGTCCCCAAACAGCTGTTTTTATTACCAAAGGTTAACAACACAGACTTTTCAAGCAAATCTTCGTCACTGAATAATTCGGAAACTATTACACTAGAGCAAAAAGACTTTCAGTACAATTAACTACGTACTC